AAAACAGTGCACCACACTGCAGGCTGTGCAAATGGAGCATAGTCCCCCAGATGCATAGTGGCCCTAGCTCCCAGATGGGGTGTAGGGAGAGGGGATATGGCCAAGGCATGAAAGGTGACACCTCTGATCACATGCCCTAATGGCAAATTGGAGGTATAGAAAGAGTTGATATGTGGGAGACGTGAAGGGTAGTATCAATGACTACCAAGCTAGAGTGCTGAGGTAAGGAGCCTGTGCATGATATGACGAAAAGGTGAATCATCTAGCAGCACCTAGTGCCAGGTTGTGGTATTGGGGATATGGAGATGGCTGGAGAACAAAGGGAAACACCCCATCAGCTGAGTGCCCCCAGTATTAGAGGGATGCTGAAACCTGAGGCATAGCCAGAGAAGGAAGGGCAATACCTCCAGTTGCAAAATATCTCCCAGTGTCAAAACACAGTGGCTACGTCTAGACTGGCATGATTTTCCGCAAATGCTTTTAACGGAAAAGTTTTCCATTAGAAGCATTTGTGGACAAGAGCGTCTATATTGGCACGGATGCTTTTCCACAAAAGCACTTTTTCCGGAAAAGCATCTGTGCCAATCTAGACGCGCTTTTCCGCAAAAAAGCCCCGATCGCCATTTTCGCGATTGGGACTTTTTTGCGCAAAACAAATCTGAGCTGTCTACACTGGCCCTTTTGCGCAAAAGGACTTTTGCCTGAACAGGAGCAACATAGTATTTCCGCAAGAAGCACTGATTTCAGACAGTAGGAAGTCGGTGTTCTTGCGGAAATTCAAGTGGCCAGTGTAGGCAGCTGGGAAGTTTTTCCACAAAAGCAGTTGTTTTTGTGGAAAAACTTACCAGTCTAGACATAGCCAGTGGGTATGTCCAGATTACATGCCTCTGCCGACAGAGGCATGTAAAATAGGCTATAGTCAATGAAGCAGGGATTTAAATATCCCTGGCTTCATTAAAATTGGCTGCCGCGCTGTGCCGGCTCAGCTGATCATCGGCACAGCGCGTCAGTCAAGACACAGAGCGGTCGACAGGGAACGCTTTTATCAACCGCTTCTGTAAACCTCGTTTCATGAGGCATAAGGGAGCGGTCGACAAAGGTGTTCCCTGTCGACCGATCCGTGTCTTGACTGCCGTGCTGTGCCGACGATCAGCTGAGCCAGCACAGCGTGGCAGCCATTTTTATTTTAATGAAGCCAGGAATATTTAAATCTCTGCTTCATTGACTATGTCAGGTAGCCTATTTTACATGCCTCTGTCGGCAGAGGCATGTAATCTAGACATACTCAGTGGGAGGGGAGAAGAGGCAGAGCTGGGGCACAGTGAATAATGGTACCCCTTACAGAACATCCTGACTATGTCTACACTGCAGGCTTTTTGTGCAAGAACAATTGTTCTTGCCCCAAAACTTCCAGAGTGTCTACACTGCATGTGCGTTCTTGTGCAAGTAAATTTACATTAAGGCGTCGGAACAGAGGGCTTCTTGCACAAGAGTTATTCCTCTCTTCACGAGGAATAAGCCCTCTTGCGCAAGAAGACAGTGTGGAGGGCAACTGGTTTCTTGTGCAAGAAACCCTATGGCTAAAATGGCCATCAGAGCTTTCTTGCACAAGAGAGCATCCTCTTGCGCAAAAGCACATGGCAGTGGGGACATGCTCTTGCGCAAGACCTTTTGTGCAAGAACTCTTGTGCAAAACAGTTCTTGCGGAAAAAGCCTGCAGTGTAGATGTAGCCTCTCTGTATGCCTTCTTGCTTGCTAGGAGAGGAGGAACTATCCAGGTTAAGAAAGAGAATGGTGACCCTAACATGAGGTTGGGATACTGGCAGAGGCCGTCCACACTGCAAAAGTGCATCAGAAAAGCGATGCACTTTTGCACAAGAGAGTGTTCAGACTGCATGGACGTGCTCTCGCAAGAAATCTCTGATTGCCAGAATCATCTGTACCAGGGCATCTGTACTTCTTTTGATAGGCTGTTCTTGTGCAAAAAACCTGTTTCCTGTCCACACACACCTATTTGCACAAGAGCTCTTGTGCAAAAAGGCTTATTCCTCGCAGAAAGAGGAATAACTATTGCACAAAACCCCCTCTCTTCTTCTGATTTACTGTAAATTTTCTTGTGCAAAAACATGCAGGCTACGTCTAGACTGGCATGATTTTCCACAAATGCTTTTAATGGAAAAGTTTTTCCGTTAAAAGCATTTGCGGAAAAGAGTGTCTAGATTGGCACGGACGCTTTTGCGCAAAAGCACTTTTTGCGGAAAAGCATCTGTGCCAATCTAGACGCCATTTTTGCCTTCGGGGCTTTTTTGTGTAAAACAGTTTTTAGCTGTCTACATTGGCCCTCTTGCTCAAATACATTTGCGCAAGAGGGCTTTTTCCCCGAACGGGAGCATCATAGTATTTGCGAAAGAACACTGACAATCTTACATCAGATCGTCAGTGTTCTTGCGCAAATTCAAGTGGTCAGTGTAGACAGCTGGCAAGTTTTTCTGCAAAAGCTGGAAGGCAACCATGGCCCAGGCTTGGACCCTCACCTGCTACATCTTGAGCAGCCCAGCCCCGGACCCAGCTCCTGCCGTGGCCTGGCCCTGGAGATCTACCCTAGCACAGCAGCCAGGTAGCCCAGGCCCGGGAGCAGCCTGGAACCCGTCAGCTGGGATTACCCCTCACCACCACAACCCAAGCAGCCCAGATCCACCTGCTGTGGTTGGAGTGGCTGGGCCCCAAGCCCCCCTACTGTGGCCTAACCCTGAGCCTCCCCTGACTCCCATGCAGCCCAGCAAGAGCAGAGCCCTAACACCCCAACCCTCTGTCCCAGCTCTGAGCCCCTCATCCCCAGCTCCACTCCAGAGCCTGCACTCCCAGGCTATGTCTACACTTGCACCTTCTTGTGTGAGAAATATGTGAATGAAGCTAAGTGTGGAATATCACTGAGCCTCATTTGCATACCTAATGAGCTGCCATTTTGCAGAAGAGGCTGTTGCGCCAGAAGGAGCTGTCTACACTGTCCCTTCTTGCGCAAGAAAAACCCTCTTTGTGCAATGCCGCTATGCGGATTATTTTCAGGAATAACAGCATTGCGTAAGAGGGTTTTTCTTGCGCAAGAAGGGACAGTGTAGACAGCTCCTTCTGGCGCAACAGCCTCTTCTGCAAAATGGCAGCTCATTAGGTATGCAAATGAGGCTCAGTGATATTCCACGCTTAGCCTCATTCACATATTTCTTGCGCAAGAAGTCGCAAGTGTAGACATAGCCCTGGGGCTCCCCACTCAGAACTCCTGGGCCCTGTCTGAGGGTGGTTGCCAGCCTGGAGGACACAACGGTGATAGAGCTCGGAGCAGAAAGGGGGACAATGCCCAGAACTAGGGTTGCCAGATATTTTCACAAAAAATCCTGAACATGGCAGGAAAAAAATTGGTTGATTAAAAAAACGAAGTTGCTAGGAAACTGCACCTTTAAAAATCTCTGTGCTACTTGCTTCCCCTCTCCCCCAATCACTCCCACCCAGGTCAGACAGCAGGGCTACATCTACACTGGCATGATTTTGCGCAAATACTTTTAATGCAAGAGTTTTTGCGTTAAAGTATTTGCACACGAGAGCATCTACAGTGGCATGTGCCTTTGCACAAGAGATGTGCTTTTTGCACAAAAGCATCCGTGCCAGTGTAGATGCTCTCTTGTGCAAGAAAGCTCTGATGGCCATTTTAAACATTGGGCTTTCTTGTGCAAGTAATTCTGTCTACACTGGCCTCTTGCGCAAGAGGGCTTACCCCTGAGCTGGAGCGTCAGAGTATTTGGGCAAGAAGCACTGATTTCATACATTAGAATGTCAGTGTTCTTGTGCAAAATCTTGCCAATGTAGAGATAGCCAAACTATCAGATATTTTACATGTCCAGTATTTTTTTTTTTTTAAACCAGAGGTGCCATGAATAACTGACTGTTCAGGCAAAAACAGGCCACCTGGCAACCCTATGCAGTGCCCATGGTGCCAAGCTGCCGTATGAGCTCTGCAGAGGGGCGGAGAGCAGCCCCCAACTCAGTGCTAGCCAGTACAGCGCGTAAACAAACGCCGCAGGCAGGGCACTGCTGTGCACTCGCCGGGCGCCTCTATCACTCTCCTGCCTAGTGCAAGCTGCCCTGAGAGCACGTGCCTCCCCCCGCCCCCGCCGCCACTGTCGTAAGGGGGCGTGGCCTTTGCGTTTTTACACCAATAGGAAATCACCTCATCTGCATAGCGCTAATTTGTTCAATACACGCTCCTTTGCGGGGCTCACAGCACGTGGCATGTGGTTTTGGGGGCCGGTGCTTTGGGGGGGGGCTGTGCAGAGTCCGCAGGAGCTCTACACGCCCTTGCTTGCAAGTCACCCTGAGCGAGCGCGCACTGGCAGCCGCTGGGGGCCCGCGCTCGGGCTCCTCTCCGCAGTGATTTCAGCTCTTTTAGTATTTGTCTAGCAGGCTCTCTGCGCTGCCAGGGAGCCTCCCTCCGCGGTGAATGTCAGACTGGGGCCGCTCGCGCTCTGCTGGGTGTGGGGGGCGGGGA